TGAAAAAATCCTCACTTTTCTTCGGTCTATGAATTTTTCACAAAATGTAACTGAACTCTTATCGGGGACCGAAACGGAACTCCAAAATGCCAAGGTGCTACTCAGAATTGATAAGTATTTTTATGTTTTTGTAATTATTATATATAAATGTTTTAATTATAATACAAATATTTAAGTAATTAAATATATTTCCACAGAAACTATACTCTATTATATAGAACATTAGGTATTCGATATAGCTTAGACAGGTAATAAATCATAATACACCTTTATTAAGTGGTCGGTATACATTCTCAGATGATTAGTTACAATTTAAGAATCCTGTAAATAAATAAAAATATCTTTCAATTACACGTAATTTATAACAATAAACCAAAAAACCCACAATGTCCATTTATGCTGATCCGCGAAACCGCTTAACAAATTTTAATATTTTTTTTAATGTATATTGTTTGCTCTAACTTAAAAGATAAAATAAATTCTTAGTTTTACTTAGCACTAACAATTTCGATTTCATCCTATGTACAGATAATATTATAAATAATAATATTATATGTATCTTTAAATAGTATAAAACAAAATCGCTTCCCTCCGTCTGAATGCTTAGATCTTTTAAAATACGTAACGGATTTAAATGCGATTTTCGTTTATAAATAGAGTGATTTTAGAGGAAAGTTTATAAGTATAGTTTAATGTTGTTTTGTCTTATTTTGTGGAAACATCACGGTAATTGTTTAAGATGTCGGGAGAAATCATGTCGACTGAGAGAGAGACCCTAAGTACTCGTTAAGCAAAATGTATTTTAAACGAATTACATAAAACAGCTATAGAGTATTTTATCGGATAATTTAATAAAATCAATATAATCAACTTAGCCCGTATTTATATAATCTTTATTCAATATTTGAGAATTGCATGTTTAAATATACCAACGGACCTACTCGATTTAATTCTAGATTTTATTCCTTTAATAAATAACAATTTCTTGAGAGAAACTAATAAAACAGCATTGACACTGGCGCCTGTGTAAAATGACACATATACTCGTAATTTCATATTGAAATGGAAAATTTTAGATTACAAATTACAATTTACAATCCCTATAAATTGTAATTATTATGATTTTATCACAGCATAAGTAATAGATTTCATACTTTAGGTTTAAATATTAGAGTAAGACACTTATTCTTACGGTTTAGACATAAACAGTGATAACTTAAGTATATACTTGTATATATAAAGATATATTAGGTACTAACTATATTTCGCGGCTTTGTCATGTCAGTCTGTCAGTATACCAGAGGGAGACTTTGTACAATAGTCGATTGCTTGGGTACCTCTGTCCCATTCGTGTTTCAACCGTAAAGCAGTTTTGTTTGCATAGCTGTGTTTCGGTTTGAAGGATGGGATATGGCATGAAGTTACAGGTGTCAGGTGTTATTCCTCTGTACCTAACAGAGGAATAACACCTGAGTCCTCAGGAATAGCAACGCATGGGAGGTATCATGGGCGAAACAGTATACTCTGTTATGTCTATGGTACTGCTTATGTCTATAGACGACGGTTATCACTTTCCATCAGGTGGACCGTCAGCTTATTTGCCATTCTAAGTTGTATAAAAAAAAATATACATAAATATATGTGAATTGAGATCTACCTATTTTTTTGACGTCGCGTCGCTAAAAAATTCCTGTCAAACCCCTTATACAAGTTGCAATTGAATCTTTGTAGACAGATACGTTTTCGCTATATTCAAGAAAAAGAGCGAGACAACAACATGTCTTTGTTCTGTTTCACAGTCACGATAATGAAAATATATTTACTAATCATGTATAACTTAATTCGTGTTTCTACCGTGAAGCAGTTGTGTTTACATGGCTGTGTTTCGGTTTGAAGGGTGGGATATGGCGTGAATTTACAGGATACAGAGGAATAACACCTGAGTCCTCAGGAATGGCAACGCATGGGAGGTATCATGGGTGAAACAGTATACTCTGTTATGTCTTATGTCTATAGGCGACGGTTACCCTTTTCCATCAGGTGGGCCGTTAGCTTGTTTGTCATTCTAAGTTGTATAAAAAAAAATGTTTATACAATTATCAATTCGCATAGAACATCTAATTTTAATACGGAATATTTAAATTTGCAATCACTCATTTTCATATTTTTCTAATAATCCGGTTTATAAAGTATAAAATTAATTAATTCAATTCAATTTAAACCAGCTTGAAAGTGCAAATCAACAGCAATTATGCATACCTACTTAAATATCCACTCAAAATGAAATATGAGTTTCAAAACATTCGTAATCTAATAGATTTCATTAAATTGTCGACTGTTAGGTAAACCATATGATATTTATCATAAAATACTATGATTAATTCACTCGGTGCAACGATATAAATTAGTTATGAATTTCTACAGCCGCTAATCATCATCATCAAGGGGGAGAGGGAATTAGTAGTAATGGGAATCCCATTACTAGCAATATACCCTATTAGGTCGTAGGGGGAAAGGGATTGTTAGTAATGAAGACAGAGAATCCCATTGCTAGCAATATACCCAACCAGGTCGACCTCCTTGCGGTTCTCCCTGGAAACTATCATGGTTAATTCCTGATGAATTCATCATGATGGGCTAACTGGCCTGTTTTCGTTCTCATCTATCTCCCTTCACTGGTGCTCCGCCAGCGTATCCCTTTAGCGCAGGCGGAGTTACCATACCATTTTTACCCATTAAAAAAAACCCCTATTAAGTCGACCTCCACGCTGTTCCCCTTGGAAACTATAGTGATTGTTATATTGTAAGTCACGATAGGCCAACTGACCTGCTTTATCCTCACCTATCATCCCTCACTAGTGACCCGCCAGTGTATACCGTGTGCGCAGGCGGGGTAACTATTCCATTATCATCCATTAAAAAAAATCATCTACATCATATCAGCCTTTAACAGTCCACTGCTGAACATAAGCCTCCCCCTTGGAGATTTTGCCAGTAGTTGCCACGCTTGGCAGGCGGGTTGGCAACCACAGTTTTTAGAAATGTTTTAGGAGGGGCGCTGCTGCCCATCCCTCGCTCTCCTTTATTCGATTTTTACGACACCCACGGGAGAGGAAGGGGTGGCCTATTCTATGCTAGGAGCACATTGCAGTATAAAAATAGCCGCTAATGTAAAACTCATTATAATTATACTCATAAATATGAGTAGGTACTTAAAAGCGATGCCACTTTTCATGCCAATCGAAAAAGATACTAAAAATGTACAAAAAATATCTATTTGATTTCCACGTCGTAGGGGGTGAGCCTACAATATCACAGATTAATCGTAATCTAGGTAAGTGAACGACAGAGATTAAAAAAAAATTTGTTCCCATTTATTTTATCACCAAGGTCTTTAACGTTCCAAGTAAATTACTACTTACTAAGTAGATATCATTAAAATGTGCCAAAAATTTACATATATGAATAATTTTACAAATGTAATAACATCGTTTTCTCTACAGGGTTTAATTTGTTTAATCAAGAAGTGCTTTATATTATTCCCAAATTCGTGTATAATATAGTATATATCATATATGTGTAAGTATATTGGTTATTCATATATATTTATTTGTTTATATATGTAATTTTAGTATGTATGTATATCAATAATTAGTAGTACCGCATTCGAGTATTCTGACACTTCTCTATGGTTGACTGGGAGAGAATGCTTTTAGCATTACGTCCGCCATATACACATATTTGTACTAATGAATAAATAAATAAATAAATAAATCTTAGTAATATAATAAAATTGTAACTAGGTAATGTTCATACATAGAGCATATTAAAAAATAGTCATAGGTTCAGTAGAAGTTATGTTTCTAAAGATGTAAATCTTAAATCTGGTGTAAGTTTTATCCTGATACACCATCTTGAAGTAGTTTATTTCTTTGATTTTCTCATTTTTGAAATACACGCATACGAAGCAGAAGATGAAATGCTAATTGTCATATTATTATCAAAATTATCAACTTATAAATTTACAATAAAATCCATAAGAGTTACCTAAAATTAAGTTTGTTGTCATCGAGATACGTTACTATAAAAAAATACTTCAAATCTAGGTTTTACAAGTTCCTACTTCTTCTTAAATGGCCATTACATACCATTATAAATAAAAAAACTTGTGCTACAGGTTTTTATACATTTGTCATTGAATATTTTACCTACATTAGTAATTCACAGCGTACAGTAAAGTTAACAGACACTAAAATAAATAACATAAAACGAGTACACGGCCTAGACATACAAGTATTTATAATAGACTATTTTAGGCCACTTAGTGAGTAACAGACCAACTACATGTCAAAAAAATAAAAAAGTGTTTTGTTTAATCAAAAATTTTAATATTGTAACATAAATATATGATTTTATTTCAAATTAATAAGGATGAAGATTAATTCTTACTAATATTCTAAATATGAAAGTGAATTTATTTGTTTTCTTATAGTGCCAATTACTATGAAATCTAATGTACACGTACTACATAGGATAGAGAAAGATATAGGCTACCTTTTATCCCGGTTAGGCGAACGAAGTCGCGGGTAAAACTAATCTAAGAATAAAAGACTTCGTAGACAATTTATCCGCAGACAAAATGTCTTTCGTGTGTGTAGGCTTTAATGAAGTGGAACAATGAGAGATGGAATAAATTAGAACCTAGAACATATTGTAAACAACATGACATGGGAAAGGCACATGATCGTCGGTAATGTGTTGTGAATCTTTTTGAAGTAATAAATCTTAACATAAAAAATCCCATATCAGGATGTACGTACACGCTAATCTACAAAAGCGCTTAACCTATTTTAATGAAATTTAGTAAATATTTATTGTTTGCTCCGACTTATGAGATAGGATAGTTTATATCCCGATAAGAACTCAGCAAATGCCGGTAGACGACAAAATAACATTTGCCGGATCAGCTCCTATTCGTAATAAGTAAATGTATGACTTACCAGTGCGATATCCAGCATTGGACAGGTATGTGGCAAAGGTGTTTGTCTCATGTGTGGCTTGCCACTGCGGCGAAGAACAATTGTCATTATTTGTGTACACATTATGGTTGTGGACATATACTCCTGTGAGTAGAGAACTCCTGCAAATAAAATACAGAAAAAAAGATTATACTACATACTGGAAGAGATAAAGAAACTAAAAGCCTAAAGTTAATGATAAGTAGTATATGCATTACTGCATACGGCTAACCTATGGAACCTACGCAGAGATACTATTAATCGCAGAAAACTACACAAATAAATGTCAAAATCGGTTGTGAATTAAAGATATGAAGTACAAAGGTTTATTGAGTACAGTGGCATAATAACATAGTCTTCATGAATAGCAATGCCTGAAGGCTACCATGAACATCATAGAATACTCTGAGGACATACCATGTTTATATGTGTAGGCGACGGTTACCACGTGATCCGTCAACTTGCTTGCCATTCTAAGTTGCATAAAAAAGGTAATAATGTCACGTATTGTATACAAAAAACAGTCAAACTTAGAACCTCGTATTTAAAGGAATGCTGTGTCATATACGAACGAACAAGTACATTATACTCGATGATAAATCAACATTAAAATAAATAATATTAAAAAATGTCCCACCTGGATGGACAGCACATAGGTGTCGTGGTATAAGCATGTCGAAATTCTGCACCAGCACTCCTTATCGCCTTCATTGTTCTTGGCATAAAATTTAAGCTCCCCAGCTCCACATCTTGATCGTCAGTCAAGATAAGGATAATGTTTGGCTTTCTCTCGCGTGGCTGAGAATAAGGTATATAACCACCACCCTGCCATTTGTTCATAACTCTTAATCTAGACCTTGTCGTATTCTCCTTCACTGGTAAAGAGTGAGATGGCCTTTCTTGTGGCTTGCTTTGATTTACAGGTCTTCGGTTTGGGATATTCTCCGCATTGCTTCTATTCCTGTGGCGTTCATTTTTTCGTGACTTATCCTCTCTTTTTGGACCAAATGGATCTATTGTCGGATTAGGGCCACTATAATTCTCATCAGAATGGCTAGCTGATAGCTTTCTTCTGTCTCGCCTCGCTTCGTACTCCCAAGTTCTATGCCTGTCTCCACGATACTTAGAACTGTTCCTATGCCTCAAGTACCTTCGCTCAGGAAGATCTGTCAGTGTGCCATTGAATGTAGTGCGATTTCGATTATTCTCTCTGTTTCTTAACATTCTCGCTCTAGCAGTATCTTCTTCTTCAGTGGAATCAATTTTAGCCGAAATCAGTATGAAATTCCATGTCAACAGAAGCGATATGATATTAAAATTCATGTTGTATCTTTTTATTAATACAATTCTATCAACAAATGTATTTCTATGACGTTATTAATGACAACTTAATGGTGGAAGCTTAGAATTTTACGTGGTTAGTATTTTTAATGACCAGCATCGATTTTTCGTGCGCGGGCACATCTTGATTCAGCACCTACGGACAAAGAAATAAACTTATTAACAAAATAAGAAATAAATAAATATATTTACTACTATAATCCATAAAGGGATAATCAGAACCGTTTGTCGGCTGTTGAATGGAACATTCTTGATATGCCTACAAATTTGTGGCATAACAATCATATAACATAATTATGGACACTATCCAACACCGTCACTCGGTTTAATTTGATTTGTTTGTTGTTTGATTAGTTATCATCGTCTTCCATCACCGTATAGTTTGTCGAAAATTTCAATTGACACGCAAAGTTTTTAGTATCTGTCGAATACGAACTAGGCTACACTCATAAAATTTAAATGCATTAAACTGTAAATAAATATAATTTGTATTTGCAAGTAAAAGGAAACTGTCAATAGTCCGCATTTATAAGTCATGTACGCCTATTCCATGTTTACTCTAGATACTGAAATATGTTCCGTTTGGCGTGCAATCAATACGGAAACTATTTAATGGTATTCCACCAGCATCAATCGTGAGCCGCTTTTAACAGAATTGGATCGGTAGGTATACTTCGATTCATCGACTGCTAAATGCGCATTACTTTATTTAAATGCAAACCTCAAAATAGCAATATTATGTACCAATTGAACATACAAAAAATAAAGTTATATAATGGCATATTATGACTATGAATTATCTTAATTATAAATTGTAATGAATCTATATAACTTTAAATAAAATTAAAAACAAAACCTAAATTGTCGCGTACAGTGTGGTTTTAATGAAATTTAATTTAGCGTACACTCTATTTGTTTGCCAAGGTTTTATTACGCTTGTAAATTACTTGTAATGCATTTATAAATAGTTTCACCTAAAAAATACAAAATGGAATTCTTAAAAAAAAAGTTCCTTCAGAGTCGGTAATGCGCATGTGACACCCCTGGTATTGCAGAAGTCCATGAGCTTATAGTAGCTGTTTACCATAAGACATGCTATATGCTTGTTTCTAATGTTTATGATATAATATATATATATATATATATATATATATATATATATATATATATATATATATATATATATATATATATATATATATATATATATATATATATATATATATATATAATGACACTTTTAATATATGTACAATTAAAGAGATTAATTAGAAATAGTGTTAAATTTGATTGCTTTATTATTAGTAAAATATCATTCGAACCTCTCTACTTCTACTTCGCAAGAAACTTGGCATGAAAATAGAAAGAAAGAAAGAAAGCAAGAAAGAAAAAAAAAGCAAGCAAGAAAGAAAGACAACATCTTTATTGACAACCAATTGCATTTATAAAACAAAATAAATAATACATTAATATTAATTTGTAACAATTTGCTGCCAACGTGGCCAGCACTCAGCAATATGCTATGGCACTTTATTTACTGCCACAGCGCTGTTTTTCTGTGCAAACCAGACAATATTTCCATGGACGACTGCGATGTACTTTACAATTAAAATAGGTACATATATATAGATTAAACTAGTTTTAACCGCTACATCTAAAAATATTGTAGCGACGGGCATATTCCTGTCAAAAGTGATGTTATGTTTATGAAAACCATGAAACCGTCAGAAAAAGAAACGAAACCACATACTAAAATACATCTACGCGAAGATTATTCTAGATACTATAATTATTACTACTATTTTTTTATGGATGAATTTGAAATGTTTTTTTAATGGATGATAATGAAATGGTAACCCCGTCTGCGCTATCGGTATACGCTGGCAGGTCGCCTGTGAGGGGTGATAGGTAAGAAGAAAAAGCATGTTAGTTAGTCCATCATAACGAATTTCACTCGCGCCCGGTGAAGCTGTAAAGACCATCTGCGGCCAACAGCAATAACAGTACGAAAAAAAACAAATTTCACTAGAATTAATCATGATAGTTTCCAGGGGGAACCGCGTGGAGGTCGACCTGATAGGGTGATTGCTAGTTCTGGTGAAATTAGACCCATTACTGACAAACCCTTTCCCCCTAAATGAAATGGTACCTGCACTAGCCAATATACAATGACACAGCACCAGGGACAGATAAAACGAATAGGATGAAGTCAGTTCAGTTGGCCCATCGTGAATTCGCGAATTTACTAGAACCACGACAGTTTCCAGGGGATCCGTATAGAGGCCAATCTTACCGTCTATATTGCTAGCAACGGGGAAAAAATGTCCACATTACTAACAATCCCTCTTCCCGCATACCTACTATACTATAAAAAGACATTCTCTTTTATTTATTATCAATCGTGTATTTTATCTCAATTCAATGTCGATTGTACGTCAAGGGTGTATCAAATAGCTGGCCTCGTGCACGCTCGTCGTGATTTATGCACCTCCAGTCTGCGGAGTTTAATTGATAGGGGACGAGCCGAGAACTGATCGATATTGTTACTATATTGGATGTAGGTATCCGAAAGCATTTGTAATAAAATAATAATATTATAATCAGTGGTCCATGGACAATTTGTTTATTTAATCTTAACGCCTAACAATAGCTATGAAATTTTTGAGGGCATAAACAAATTTTTATCTCAGTTAATAAACTAATCTCAATCACGTGGACAAAGTCGCAGGTAATCCTAGTCAATATTATATATTTTACTAATATTACAAATGAGAAAGTTTATGATTTTTTTAATAACTTAATTCATAAACTTATTTGTTCATCCGTTTATCTGTTTTTATTTATACGTATATTTAGTACTAAAGTTTCACTATAAAGCAATATCTGCAACTACGTTATTATAGAAAGTTTAAAATTTATTGTCATTTTTCGAATCACGCTTCTTTGGAAAAAATATTCAATTTCACCGGTTAAACGCTTCCTCGATTCATTCAGTATGTAATAAAACTATAGTTTGATCGTGTTTCTGCACGCATCACTCAAAAACTTCTAAACAAATACCTATTAATGGAATTGGGTCTGATAATATCTTAGTTCACTAAAAGCGAAGTATTTTTTAAAAAAAGATTACATTGGTGTTAGAAATTTTTTTAATTATTCAACTATTATAATAATTATAAATTATTTAAAAACATATATTTATTAGAGAGTAGGAAAAAAATATCTATTTAAGTATATATCAGAGGAACACTTTGTACAGAAGTCGTTTGCTTGGGCACCGCTGCCCTATTCGTATTTCTACCATGAAGCAGTTGTGTTTCTGTTTGAAGGGTGGGATATGGCAGTGAATTTACAGGATACAGAGGAATAACAGAATGACAACACATGGGGAGTATCATGGGCAAAACAGTATACTCTGTTATGTCCATGATACTGCTCATGTCTATAGGCGATGGTTACCACTTTCCATCAGGTGGGCTGTCAGCTTGTTTGCCACTCTAAGTTGTATAAAAAAAACTCATTGTAATTTACTAAATGTTACCTACATATTTTTCCATACCATACGGAATAAAAGATACAAAGTGTAATCACCACTCACTATCTTCAGTATGTCTTCAGAGGCGACTAAGGAAACAGACCACAATAAAGCAGGAGGGAAAATATCACTACAAATGCCAGTTATTACCTACTCATTGGAAAAAACATTGCCCAACAATGGGACGTAAATGGACTATTAAAGTGCTGACATCTGTATCTGTTCATCCAAAATTCTTAAATCACTTAAAGACATTAAATAAGTCTCTTCAGTTTCTAATTAATTTGTAAAAGCTTTTTGTATGGGCGTATAGGAATTTAGTCATTGATTACCGAGCAACGTCATTTTAAGTAAGGAGGTTAATGATGAAATCAAACATCATTATGCCACCCACGACCTCATAAACAAATATAAATGGTTTGTTCAAAAACAGAAGCATTAACACATAGTGGTGTTATCCTTTTAAGTTTATAGTTGTGATGATAACGTTCGTCTTGTGAGGCGTTTACACTATCAAATATTAAGGTCACATGTACATTGACTTTTTTACGACTACGTTACGCGGATGCTTTCCCAATTCTGTACCAATTGCAATATTATTTATTACTAGCTGTATCCCGCGGCTTCCCCCACGTGAATCAGTATATAAAATAGTGTATGTACAAAGTTAGTATATAACCTATTCGTGTATTAAATTTCATTCAAATCCGTTCAGTAGTTTAGGCGTGAAAGAGTAACAAACATCCAACCATCCATCGTCAGAAACTTTCGCATTTAATATATTAATAGGATTATTATATGAATTTACAATGGAATACAAACTAAATTGTCACCAATAAATTTGTAAGTATCTATGTGTTCATAATTGAAATTGCTTTATACAATATGTACTTGATCTGACGTATTTAAAAATTAACAATTCTCACGACTACTAGTGGTGCCTTAATTAACATTTTCACTGTGGTTGTTATTTTTTTTTTTTTTTATAATTGGATATTCGTTATTTCCCAAAGAGGGTTGACGAAATCTTTTTGTAATATGGATAAAAATATTATGCGGCCGGTCAAATAAAACTATAAGGGAAATCTTTTTCGTTATATGGATAAAAATATTTTTGCTGTTACCTCATATATTATAATTTTTTTTTTATAAGGGTAGGCAAGATGATGATGATTCGTTATATTATAATTTAAATATTTTTGCTGTTACTATCTCTTTATATATGTACATAAATATTCAAAATAAGATACACCAATTTTAATTCAATATGGGCATTTTACATCCATATGTGTATTTTTCAATAGACGAGTTACTCTGCAACATTTTTAATAGTATGAGTATACTTAAACATAAACCAAATAAAATACAGACTTTAATATCTAATTAATTTCATAAGAATTCCGAAGCGCAGTAGGTAATGTTAATAATGAACCCTTATAAATTTGAAGCTAATCACCCAATTCGCGAAGTTTTGCCAGCCAACGGTGGCGGATGCTTTATGTAAATCTCCCTAATGGTTCCCGAAAAACAAACTTCTGATTCTTCAGTTTTTGAAACATTAATTCCCTTTGGAAAGTGGGAGGTAAGCGTGCCGCATAAGGGTCGGTTTTATGGACGCGACAACGCGTGGAACGTTCCGAGTTCTATAAACTGAAATTAAGTTTAAAAGTCAAATACTCAGGAAACGTGAACACACACTGTATGTGGATTGAAATATAAATAAATTATGATGCAGAACTCGTTTAAAATTGAAATACTTACATTTTATTTTGAATTTGAAATGGCAAACAAGCTATGAGGTCACCTGATGAAAATGTATAACAGAATGTTCTAATAATGCCCACTTTACCGTTCATAACGCAAGCCTCAAATTTTTTTTTTTTTTCGTACGTAGTAATTTCACTTCCACATTTGTGTACTAAATGCTGAGAAAAATGTTTCGTGAAGGCAACCAAAGCTTGCTAGCAATATACCTTGTTAGAAGGACTTCCACGCACGGTAAACCAACTGACGTAGGTTTATTAGTTTAGTTCACCTATCCTATCCCTTACTATCCTCCCAGCGGAAACCAATAGCGCAAGCGAGTTTATTTTTAACCCCTAATGTAAAAAAATATATACTACCCATAATACAGATACAATCCGTTCAATCTATTAGGTATAATCAAAGGTTAAAGGTTAGGAAGTTCTGGGATTGACATATCGTTAATGGTCCTTTAATCCTCAGGGAAAGTAATCACTTAGTCAAAGGTCTAATGTAAAGTTAACTGAAACGGTGCCAGCACTTCGTTTATGTTTGTTTGTTAACAGATCTAAATACAGAAATAAAAATATATAATATGGAATTGAAATTTGTATAAAAATTGTCACAATATTGTACACTGCTCTATCCGCTGACATTGATGCTCCTTTCCACTTTGGGTTTGCTGGAAGAAAACTCTATTAGAGTTAACCTCGCCTTTGTACATTTGATTAGCTCTGTCATAATCTTATAACTGGTGTGTATAATAAAGAATTAAATAAATAAATGAAATATATTTTTAAAAGATTTTCACAAGCAACAAATAGCGTTCTCAGGAAAGGAATTGCTAATACCTATTAAACTAAAAAATCGAAATTATAATATGGATAAGTACCTGTAGCGTATTACTGGCCATCATAATGTGTCCGTCTTATTTTTCTACTTATTTTCTATCATCTTTTGTTTTGGGGTTTCGTCATTGTGTTAATATTGTCCTATCCATATAGATGAGATAAAAGAGAACTGCACTATCAAGCATTTTTTTAATTTTTTACCCGTTTCTCTTAATACATATGTTGTAATTACGAATATATGCAAAGTAATAATCTTTACTAATATTAAAAATGTGAGTTTATTTATATATCTATTACGTCTTATCACCTTAACCAATCACTATGAAATTTAATATACATATATTATATGGGATGTAAAAATACAAAGGCTATTTTTGTCCTGGTCAGTAAACATCACGCGGACAAAGGCGCGAGTAAATACTAGTCGTTAAATATACAAAGTAAGAGCACAGTGGATGTAGATAAATAAAACTGATAAAATATCATCGTGCTTTCGTCGTTTACCATTTTTTTTTTTATTTTACACCAAACGATAAGTATGTATAAAATATTTTAGATGATTTTGAATTATTACTAATTGAATACGTAATGAACTAACATAATTGATCATAATGCAAATACGAAAAGACTAGCTATTTTCATTGCTAAATGCTATGTGTATTTCGACTTTGTTTATGCAAATTGCGATATAAGTAGGTTCTTCATGCGTTAATCTAGGATTTATCGGTTTGCAAACACGTCTTACCAAGACAATCTTAGCGAAAACGAACCTTATCAATGAATGTTCAAAAACTTCTTGGTTGAAGATACATACATACATACATACATATCTGTCACGCCTGTCTCCCATTAGGGTAGGCAGAAACAATGGAACGCCAAATGCTTCGATTCAAACAAACCTCTTTCGCTTCTTCCACATTCATCAATCTTGTCATACACGCTCGTCGGTTACGGGTACTTTTAATTTGGCCCTTCTTCAGCACGTCGCCTATTTGGTCGACATACGTCCGTCTATATATTCATTCTTGCTCGATAAATCTCTTTCGTAATTCTTCTTTCATCCATCCTCTCCAAATGACCAAACCAACGCAACATTCCTTTTTCAATTTTTGTCACTACATCGTCTTTCAGTCCACACTTCTCTCTAATCACACTGTTTCTTACTCTATCTTTTAAAGTAATATTGATCTCAAAGCTCTCATCTGTACAGCATTTATCTTACTTTATGCTTCTTCTGCCATACCCACGATTCGCTTCCATACATGAGTGTTGGTGTCAGTACTCCTTGAATTATAGCAAGGCGAGCTTTGCTCGATATCGAGAGCAGTGCACCGTTAACACTGTTTCCCGCTTTTAGTCTCCTCTCAATATCTCTGTCACACTTCCCATCCCTCGTAAACAAAGAACCTAAATATAGAAACTCACTCACTACTTTTTCATCTCCTATCATAATTGGCATGCCGTTAAACTTTCATTCCTCTCAAAAACCATTACCTTCGTCTTCTTCGCATTTATTTTCATACCTTTTCTTGCATACGCTTCATTCATTATAGTCACCATTTGTTGTAATTCATACTCCGACGATGCAAAAAGTACTTGGTCGTCGGCGTATAAAAGAGTCTTAAACAGAGACTCATTCATCCTGAATCCACAATTAGATCCTTTCAAATCGGTCAAGCAACTGTCCATAAATAGGTTGAACAGCCAAGGAGACGCTACACAGCCCTGTCTAACACCGCGTTCAATGCCAAACCAGTCTGTAAAGACTCCATTTATTCTGACACAGGCATTTGAATCCTTATATAAAGATTTGAATGCCCGTATCAAATGGCTGCTCACCCCATACATTGCCAGTGTTGACCACAGTTCATTCCTCTCCACTCTATCATAAGCCTTTTCAAGGTCAATGAAGGCGCAGAAAACCTTCTGATGTTGAGCTAACTCTGTTATGCACCTTAAGAAAAGACTATCCGTATCCCATACCCTTTCGAAACCCTGCTTGCACATCCCAAATTTTACTTTCCGTCTCATTCATCACTCTTTTAATCAAAATCCTAGCATACAATTTGCCTACAACACTAAGAAGGCTTATTCCGCGGAAATTTTTGCACTCCTGCTGTGATCCGCTGCCTTTATATAGTGGCACAATAACAGCTTTGCTCCAGTCACCTGGAACACAACCGGACCGCCAACATTTATTAAACAGCAGACACAGCAGGTCTACAATGATTTCTCCACCTTCTTTAAGCATTTCGGCAGATATTCTATCGAATCCCGCTGCTTTACCAAATTTCATAATCTTCATTGCATTCATTACTTCATCCATACTTATATCACTTTCACTGTCAACTTCTTCGTCCATTATTTCATTTTCAACATTCTTTCTTTCACTTCCACGTTCAAATAAACTTTCAAAATATCTCTTCCAATGATCTAAGACTTCCTTTTGTTCCGTGATAACATTACCATCCATATCCCTTATCACGCCCATTTTCGGATCTCTCTTTTTACCTCTAGCTGTTCGAACTAAATGCCAGAAAAGCTTTTGATTAGCTCGAAAATTTCTAGAGAATTTCCTTTCATACTCATCCTTACATTCCTCTTTCTTTTGCTTACTAATTCTTTAACTTTCTTTTTCATTACATCATACTTCTCTTTTGCAATTTTTTCAATGTCACTTACATTACCTTGCATTCTCTTATTAGCTCTGGTAGCTAACAAATCCATCCATGCCTTTTCTTTAGAGCCACCATTTCTTTCACTTCGCCATCCCACCATACATTCATTCTCATCTTAACATCCTTCCTCTTACTTACACCACAAACTTGAGTAGCTATATCAAAGATTCCGCATTTAAATTCCTTCCAAAATTCTTCTATCTCATAGTTATCTTTCTTCAGTAGCTCTCTAAATCTTTCATTCAATCTTTCTTGATACTGATTTCGAACCTGTTCTTCTGTCAGTCTCTCTACTCTTACTCTTTCTATTTCTGACATACGAACACGTGGACGATGTCGCCATTTATTGAATAAGCCACCTATTCTCGATATCACCAAAAAGTGATCGGTTCCGACATTCGTACCACGATAGACTCTTGTATCCTTCACTTTCGCTCTCAATCGTTCATCCACAATTACAAAATCAATCATACTTCTCTCAGTTTGCCTTTGCCATGTATACATATGAATCAGTTTGTGACTAAACAAAGTATTAGTCACCACCAGATTTCTCTCCAGGCATACTTCTAATAAACTTTCACCATTTTCATTCACTCTTTTATCTCCAAACATTCCTAAATTCCTTTCATATCCATCGCGACGGATTCCCACCCAGCCATTAAAATCACCTATCAAAATAATTCTTTCATTCTCCTTACATTTAGTCATAATCTCTCTTACACTATCCCAGAAATCCTCTCTGACCTTTGGTGGCTTGGACATATCCGGGGCATAAGCGCAAAGGAGAAAAATACGGGTCAAACCAACTTTCAGTCGTATCCAGAGGAGTCTAGGACTTACAAATTCAAATTCTTTAACAGATGCATTCATTCTCTCTGACAAAATAACTCCCACTCCTTGGCTGCTTCTTTCAGAGTCATTAACTCCAGACCAGTACCCAGTATATCGGTCATAAGTAGTAATAGAGCAGCCTTTCTTTTTTGTTTCACTTACTCCTAATACATCAATTCTTCTTTCACTCATCATCTCACATACTTCGTCTATTTTACTATCCATACTTCCACAAACATTCATCGTTGCAATTTGGCATTCCTTTGCCCTCTTTTTGCCATTTGGGGAAACAGGGGAGACATGACGTGACCCGTGGCATAACGCATCGCCGTCGATGAGAAATTTGTCCCCCCCAGATACGATGGGACTGCCTGAGTTGCACTCAGGGACGGATTCTCCGGCAGTGCCGGTACCCTCCTGGGGTAGTTGCGTTTTAATTTCTCTTATCATTTTGAAAAAGAACTGCTCTTCTTAACATCGGATAGGGAAAGGAAATAGGTTACATTGGGAAAGGAATAGGTTATAAGGAAAGGAGGTGATAAGTGGAAAGGAACTATATGGGGGATACTACAGCTACGGAGAGGACATAGGTTTTGTAACTGTAGTAGCTATGGAGGCCGGGGTTGCGTACCCGTATGCCCTTACTCCACAATCGGACAGATTAATAGAGAGGACTTGGTTGAAGAAAGTATATATTATTGAAGTAAGTATATACTAAAGTTGTAATGAAACATAATTATTAATATATTGATATTATTTGTATTGTATTCGCGTAGTTAATTACGTTTTAAAGGCTGAACGGATATCAGTGAAATTAAATAAACTCAGACATACCATCGCCTACCATTTCCTACTACTTGTGTGAAGGTCTCTGGTGTCAAGAGTTGGTAAACCGTCATCATTATATACAAAGAACTCTACGTGTCAAACTGACGACGATTTTCCGTGCTCTCTGAAGTTGACTTAGAATAATTCACATGAAACAAATGAAATATCGTATGCTACGCGGAATCATAAGTTCTGCTACAAAGCACTCTCGAAATGAAATTGCAAGATTGTCACTGCGTTTAGATTTATTCATGAACCAGATTTATTCATGAATCATCGGTTACGTTCAATTAGCAATGAAGTGAAGTGATCGTACAGAACAAGCAAATAGAGACCTTAGAATTAAATTTAAATTTATTATATATTTTACCAAACAAAGACTTTGTATAAAAGTCATTTGCGGGACAGAGGTGCCTAAACATCTGTCCCATTCGTGTTTCTACCGTGAAGCAGTTGAACCGTGAAGCATGGCTGTGTTTCGATTTGAAGGGTGGGATATGGCAGTGAAATCCCACCCAGGGTACAGAAGAATAACACTCGAGTCGTCAGGAATGGCGACGCATGGGTATTATGGGCGAACAGTATACTCCATTATGTCCATGGTACTGCTCATGTCTATAGGCGACGGTTACCACTTTCCATTAGGTAAGCCGTCAGCTTGTTTTCCATGCTAAGTTGTATAAAAAAAACTATCACATTGTGCTTGTTTTCATTCGTATAAAAATAAAAAATGCATAGTTCACATTCATTTGCAAATAGCTAGTGCAACATTAAGTCATTAAATGTGACAATCACTTTTATCATTAGCCACTAGTGATATTAATATGATTAAAAATAACATTTCACATTTATAAGATATTGAATTTAATGTAACAATAAATTCCAAGCTTACATTAAAACATGAAACAAAGCATAAATCATTTTTAAATGATCCAAATATAAATATAAAAATTTTGAGTCTAAGAATCGATCTTGGGATCTCCAAATCGAATTAAAGCAATACTCAACTAAGCTTATTGCTACTGCTAACCTGATAATACTCATGAAGACTATAATTATTGTAGTGTACTTAATCAAGTAGAAAAAAAAGTATCTTTTAATAACCTAATGGACAGATTTTTCACCCTGTCAAATTAGATGATACTGTCAAAGTTAAATTAAAAGTGCATTGAATTAACTTAACGACGGCAGGACATTGCGCATTCATTTAAAACTTCCGAAATTGCCGCTTCAGCTTTTTGGCTCCCCCGTCGTAAATTTTCGTCGATTCATTACCTAAAATGTTTTATGTTTATATATAAAAGTATTAGATTTTCAATTGTAACTTGTAATAGCAAACAAGTTGAAGGCCCACCTGATAGAAAACATTAATTGCTGTCTGTAGATATGGACAGCACTATAAATATAACAGAATATACTAATACGCTCATGCGTTGTCACTTTTGAAGACTATGGTATAGAGATATGGCGCCCCCATTTCCTATTAATACACTGCCATATCTCCTCAAACTGGAACACAGTCATGCAAGCATACTCATAGCTGCAGTGAGACAGAGGTACAACATTCACTTGTATATAACAAATATATTGTGTATAGTCTTCTTCTGGTACATTTACTATAGACACAGAAAATATAATATTAAACTGGCTATAAATAACTAATTTAATAAAATGAAATCCTTTCTTTTCAACGCTTTCATAACAAGACAATGGCAAAGTCTAATATAAAATACTTAATCACGAACTCAGTGTGTTTAAAACTTTCATTTGTTCCCCTGTTTAATTCGCAATAAAGTTCCCGACGTCGTTACATTAACGGTATGCATTCTCACGCGCAGCTTCTTAAAACTGAGTCTCGTTATCCGAGTTTATTCGTCTGCAAACTGAGTCGTATCCTTAATTCAAGCTTAATTTCGCGTTTAAGTACGCCCGTTTTACTGTGTTCATTAACTACTTCCAAGCCATCACCTGTAGGGAACAATCTGTATCATAGACTAGCGAAAACCGATTATTAAATTGAGAACTCGGTTTTTACGGCAATAAATTTGCAACTGTCGTCAAAAAAGGCATTTGTGAATTGAACTCTCATGTAGAAAAATTATGAACACATTTTTATTAAAATTAAAATAATCCGTGGGTTCTGTACAAATTTGGTCAAAATTGAAGTTTCTATTGTGCAAAAATTATACTTCATATATTAATAGATTTTTTTATACCACTGAGGTAGCAAACAAGCATACGACCCACCTGATGATAAGTGGTTACCATAGCCTATGAACACCTGCAATACCAGAGGTATTACGCGTGCGTTGCCGACCCTGAAGAAACCTCTTTACCCCCCTTTTGAAGAACCCCATGCTATAGTCTCTTGGGAAAATCTCACCAGACATCGCGTTTATACAAGAAAGTTATATAATTAATCGATATATAATACATAAACACATTCTTGTATCCTACAATTGTAATGTACCCGTGTGTTCTATTTTATTAGGAGAGGAACTGGTTGAAAACTAACGCTCTGCAGCTGTATATATTAGACTGGGACACTTACAGAATTAGCTGAACTAGTTCCTTTTGGCTAATATAGTAAATAAAAAAATATATCGTATGTTCTTCTCTATCCCAAACACCACACGATTTATGTTAAATTTGATAATGATTGGTTGACTGGTTAAGATGTCAAGAAGAAGCAAACTTATTTTAACATTTATAATATTAATAATAAGATATTTACTATTAATACCTATAGAAAATATTTTAATGCAAAAATGTAAGTAATCAACATTCCAAACGTTCTAAAAATTTTATATTCACTTGCTAAGAAAACATGTGCAGACTTTAGAAAGCTTGCGAACCTGTTTTTAAATAGAATTAAAAACAACAAATTGTATTTATTATACCTAAAACATTCACACAGTTTATAATGCATAATAAATTGATAAACAGCAACTAGTAACACAAGGACTTGATGACCGGTCCTATTAGTGAAGGCCGAATAAAAAAGTTAGGTATATCAAAAGCATTCGCTTGCACATCCTTTTTCAATAGATATATATCGTCACATCATATCAACCGTTAACTATTTACTGCTAAGCATTAAGCCTTGTTTCGCCAGTAGTTGCCATGTTTTTTTTTTGATGGGTGAAAATGGTATGGTAACCCCGCCTGCGCTAACGAGATACGCTGCCGGAGCACCAGTGAAGGGTGATAGATGAGAATGAAAACAGGTCAGTTAGCCCATCATGATTAACCATCATCAGGAATTAACCATGATAGTTTCTAGGGAGAACCGCGAGGAGGTCGACCTGGTTGGGTATATTGCTAGCAATAGGATTCTCAGTCTCCATTACTAACAATCCCTTTCCCCCCGTAGTTGCCACGTTAGGCAAGCGGGTTGGCAACCGCAGTTAAGACTTTTAGTGATGTTTTGAGAGGAATGCTGCTATTGAATAGACAGATACGGGATAGAAAAATAAATTTATTTTTAATTTAATTAATGAGTCTTATTATAGCAATTACATTATTTTAATATGATTTTGTAGCAGATCAAACTAAAGCTCTTATAATCAGAATTTTCTAAAAAAATACTGTGAAAACAATATTTCATGATGTAGATATTCTAAGACTATATTCTGAATTTTAACTCGATTGCTCAGAAATTAGAATATAAAGCTAAAGCTAAAATTAAATCAGACTTAACCAAATCAATATATTCGAAAATAAATTGAATCAGTACACAATATTATTAAAAAATAAAAAATATTTTCTTCAAATAGTATTCATATACTTTATGAGCTTTTAAAAAACTATATAAATATTATATATGAGAAAAATAAAATATTTGTCCAGAAACTAATGTAACTATATTTTATTAATATTAATTTAAACGATTTTATTAATATATCAACAAGGACGGTCAATAAACTTTGTATCTTTATAATTTACATTATAAATATGAGTTATAATTAATAACCATTATTTATATTCGAATATATTTATTATAGGTATTTGTTAATATATAACTACATAGGCAAATACCTATTTTATCTAAAATAATGAGAAATAATTTATTTTTCTCAAACAAAACATATAGTAGGGGCTCTGATTACCTTCATACTCTGGTGGTCACGACCTGACGCGCTCCCTTGAGAGAATGCTAAAGTATTTGAACACGTGTAAACCATTCTTATAATTATGAAAAGGAATATTTAACTCTGGTTAAATATTTAAATTTCCGCCCTTCCGAAGATAAACTTGCTAATACATTTGTTTGCCGGAGTCGTGTAGGAAACAACAAACAAATTCTACACGTTCAATTTTAACAAATGGAGTTTGGATGAGAAATTAGCGGGGTTGTATTACTTACTTGTTTGTTTGTTACTATTTTAATATAATTTTGTATTCAATTCTGCACATGACAATTAAAAACTGGTGATAAATTTCGAAGGAGTGTATATATTCGAAGAAGGGATAAGTAATTATTTAAATATTTAGTTGTTCCAGGTACCAACGTATTGGGCTGTCAATTTTTTTTGGTTAAAAACTGCAACCAAAATATTATAATAAAAATTGATATTTTCATGTAATTTTAAAATGGCCTCCTTTAAAAAGAATGATTCATA